TTTGACTGACAGTCAATCAAATCAATAAATAAAATGCGAAAAGGTAATAAATAATCCCTAGGCAGTTTTAAATAGCAAAAACCTGCTAGGTGAAATCAAGGGGTCAGGGTTTCCGGAAGAGCTCAACCTTCTTACCTTCAAAGTTCAAAATAGGTAAACATAAAACTTAAATTTGACTACCTAATGATTTTACATTAGTTTACCTTGTAAAACTACCACATTATTGATTTGAAATTAAAAGTTAAATTAACCTTTTAAAGGTTAATGAATCCACAATATATTATATCGATTAGTACTCGATATTAAGGAAATAAATTTATAATAATTATAATAATGCACACTTATTGGATAATAAATAATGATAAAGAAAACGATAATAAAAGCTAATATCTGACTCTGATAATAATTAATTATTTAAATTATTAATTATATTTAAACAATATTTAGCTATTCTAGCTAAACACTACTAAACGGTAAACAATTTAAGTCGGTAGTTCAATCTACATAGATATTGATTGGCTAATAAAGCTAAACGATAGGGGGCGATAAATAAAAGGTAAAAATAAGTTACGGTAGTTAGGATGGCACGTTTAAGACACTCATAGGTAAGTAATTATACAAGCCTGGACGGAATCCTTGTAAAGCCTCGGAAGCACAAATTTGAGCTCTGGAGGTACCAAACTGGCTGGAGACAACCAAATAATGGTTGGGGATTAACTTCTTACAGGACACAAACTGTCCTTGAAAAGGGGGCCCCAGATTTCCTCTGAGTTTCAGGACAGCGTGGTCTCAAATTTGTCAATTTTCACTTGTAGAAGTGCAGTCACGGGTTTTTCGTCCTGCCGAAGGTGCCTGAATAAATTGAGGAGATATAGGCACTCATTCATCAGAGAGAAAAAGAAATTAACATACCTGAACGGCCGATAGTAACCCGAGTAGTAACCTCACTTCCAAAAATATTCACAAAAATCAACAATCGGTCGAAGGAAACTTTCTAGTAGATACGAGCGAGCACTCTTCTGGTTAGTTATTCGGTAAGAATATTGACACGATGGCCAAAAATAAAGGTAAAGTTTTAGGATTTTTAATCACTTCTAAAAATCTGGACGACCTGTTCGGTCCCAAAACAAAAGAGAAAATGGCAAGGCAGTACCAAAATTGGTTCTGTCTTTTCTTTCTTTGTCTGTCAAGCTTGTCAAAATCATAAACATGACAGCGCTACAGGTTTGTCGGAAATAACAGAATTCTCAATATTAGGTTAGGAAAACTAGTCAGAAGAATCATAGATGTCGCTAGGTGTACGAAATAGTACTTTTACATGAGTCTAAAATATATAAAAATAATTAAGAACAATAAATATATCTTTGTGACATTTCAAATGTTACAGGGTAGCACATAACTCAATTAGAACATATCTTACAAACCGACAACAGGGCTAACCAGGGAGTGAGTTCCAGATTATTATCAGTGACAGGGGTACCACAAAGATCAGTCATGGGTCCACTAATATCCCCTGTATGTTCACAGCTTGTCAATAATCAATCTAGACTGTAAGTACATCACTTTTGCAGATGATACAGTTCTACTGTTTGAAAATGATGGAATAAATAATATGGAGCACAGAGTGAACAACAGTTTATCAATTTATTTTAAATGGTTGCTTAAAATTAATTTAAAAATCAATATTAATAAAACAGTATACATTCAATTTGCGTAAAGGAACAAATCAATACCGGCCATCACTGTTGAAATAAATAACCAACTTCTAAAGGAAGTGAACGACTATAAATACTTGGGTCTAGTCTAATTATTGACAAAAACCTCAGTTTCAAACAACATGTAAATCAACTGCAATCCAAATTATCAAGTACTTGTGGAGCAATAAAATTACGCGCGGAGCATGTACCGAATGCAATGAAACCAGCTGTATATGAAGCCACCTTCAAATAACACCTGCAATATCCCTGTGCCATATGGGCTGCAACTCGAAAGGCTGAACTAGTAAGACTGCAAAGACTACAAAATAGGTTTATCAAATATATTTATAGGCTACCTAGACTTTACTCAACGAATGAACTATACAAAAATTACAAATTCCTGAAAATTGATCAGATAATAAGAACAGAAGAATGTAAATTAAAACATAAAATTATTTTTAAACAAATTAAAACCAATATTTCACTAACAAGAGTTACAGAAATACATAGACATGATACTCGTACTAGTTCAAATTTTTAAGTTCTTAACTCTAGGACTAATGTTGGACATTACACTGCTATTAAACGTGCCACCTCAACATATAATTCAATTTCGGGCGATCTTAAGTTGATTGAATCTCCATTCCTTTTTGCCAAAAAAGTTAAAGCTTTTTACTCATTACAAAACAACTACTAATATTGAATGTATTTAAATATTGTTATTGTTATTAAATTGACTTTCATTTCGCTGTTATTATTGAATACAAAATGTTATGTATATTTTTTTTTTATAGATTAAACGGAATAGTATGTCAGTAGCATAACCATGCTTCCTATTGATTAAGTATTAGAATACGGACTTGTTACCAGTATTTAGTACTGTTTAGAGTTCATAAATAAATAAACTTGAAAAAAAAAAGTTTCAATAATTCATATATTCATATATCATCATCATCATCAAAAGTTTATAATCCTTTTTGAAATTCCAAGAAACCACCAAAAAATAGTTTTCACCACTGCTGCCGAAACTATTTTTCGAACTCATGAATATGTTGAGATTAACTGTCCCTGTGCAGTTTTGTTCACCTCCACCGAACTATCGTGTCTACCATCTCACGATAGAGGAAGGAGGGAGGAGCTCTCGAACGATCCCAGAATTTTAAGCAAAGTTCCTGAGCCTGTCTCCAGAAAGATGGTAGCGATACTGTTCATCTTCCGCAAGAAGAGGGGAACTCATCGGACGATTTCAGTGAACCTGGCTAAAAGTTCGATGAGCCCAGCTTCCGGCCCGCGGTGGATGGGCTTTACTTCGAACCGCAACCCGGTTAAACGAGGAACCGGGCACGGCCAGGGTGTTAAAGGTATAACCTTTAGTATAGTTGGCATGGGCGAAGGATCCCTAATGTCTACCCTATCCCAGAATTCTGAACAACGGATGACTGAGGTGTTCCGAAAGCTAGTCGAGGAAAAGCGCGATCCCGGACCTTGTCAAGGGAAAAAGAACTCACCTAGGGAGCCCTTTCAACACAAGGAATACGATGTCTTGTAGGCCATATGCATACACCGGTGAAAATGCTCGCCGCTGTGCTGATTCCAGAAGTTCGTGGGTAAAAGGTACAAGCATTCAGTACTGAAGATGTGACAGCCACCCACGAAAGTGGCGACTTGTCACACGTTGCCGGAGGAACCCGGCAAACACGCGTACCCAGGGGAAAGGCCAGCCCAGCTGAGTCCAAAAACTTGGTGCATTTCATAGGTGCTCTGGGGGGCAGTTACGGTCTAGCTGGATAGATAAGGGTAATTGTCCCGGACATGCGAGAAACCGAAAGGTACAATGCATAACCATGAGTTGAATGTGTCCTCTGGATATGAGTCTCTCTCAGATTTTGCCAAGTGTTTCTATCGCGTGCAACCTGATACCAGTTTAGTCCTGCTGTTCGCTTGACGTAGTCTCAGCAGCGTTGTTGAGATCTGCCGACGCTTCTTCGTTCCTCCCAAGGTCTTTATCTTGTTACTTTTCCGCTCCAGTTGTTGCTTGTGCTTCTCGCTACGTAGCCATTCGAGGGTGCATATTCTATTTGTAATGTCTTTGTCTGTCTCGATGGTCTTGTGATCCCTTAGTGTAAAACCTATCATTCTCTTTCCGATTTTTCTGTGATGTAGGTACTTGCAGCTTATTTGGGACTTTCTTTGTGAGTGTCCATGTTTCCCTTCCATTGGCAGAATACATTTGTTGTAGACTCAAGTTTTCAGCTTCAAATATAATTTGGACCGGAATATGTGTCGGATTTTACCATACGCCGCCCATCCTAGTCGTATTCTCCTATTAATTAATACTTGTAGGAGTTTTTTTCACCTGTTGGCTCTTTAGGGTTATTCTATCCCTATCTGTTTGCTCATTTATTATAAAATCTGTTTTTGATATGTTCATTTCTAATCTGATCTTCTTGGCTTCTTGAAGTCGGTAATTTTTTCAGCATGATTTCTAAGTCTGTTTCGTTTGGGGCGAATATCACGATGTCATCAGCGAATCTTATTGATCCCTCTATTTTCTCAATGTAGTTCTTTGAGGATTAGGGTGAACAGCTTAGGTGTTATTATTTACTTCGTTCGTATCTTGCATTCATGCATTCTTAATTTTATTTTTGTTGCTTTTTGGATATTTTTGAATATGTTTATATATAGCTGATCTATTCGTGCATTTCTCATAGCTCTTACTATCGCCCAGAATTCGACAGTATCGAAGGTTTTCCTAGAATCAATAGATACTAGTCATATTGTAATGATAACCAGATGTTTACCCTCACAAAATAAAAATCTGGGAGATAAAAATCAAGTATGTACTTATCAAATTTAAATTTTGTGCAACAGTTCAAGAAGCCTGCAAACATGCACACAAGTCAAGTGATATCCTAAGCTAACTGTAAACATGGTCAGGATCGATGGCAAACACTACAACCTCTGAATGACAAGCAAAAAGGAATTTACAGCAAATCTGCATTAAAAAAAAAAGCAAAATCCATAAAAAAGCAATTCAATAACTGCTCCTACATATGACATCCTAACTATAAAGTGAATCGAACTTAAAATCCGGCACTTTAATATCCGATACATCTATCTGCCAATCAAATCTCGAATCATGTAGCTTTCATCAATACGAAATGGTTGATTCAAAATTAAATGCCATCGGCACGTGGCGTTTCGACAGAAATACAATTATTATTATTTTATTTATTCGATCAATTTTCTCCTCCGAGCCGAGAAAAAGCTAATCCAATCATTAACTAAAAACGTCTGTTCCAGATAAGGCCCCATCAGAAGCTGTCTTCCGCGGGACCGAATTTTTATCGTACGATCTCAGCCAAACGGGGGGCGAGCCCATTGTCAGCGCACAAGACACCATCACGTTATATTTCAAGACCCGACAGCCGAACGGTCTCCTTTTCTACACGGGTAAGTGATAAAAATCTTTGCAATAATTGCTTCTCTTAGAACAGAAGGCCGGCGTTTAACTGACTGTAATGAAATTGGCCGCTCCTTTCTTCTATTACACTCAGTTTATGGATTTAGGAGAACTGAAACATCTTGCCTATAGCATTAATTAGGATTAATTTGGCAACATTTTATTCCTAACTTCGAAATACTTGAAAGTCACGTTCGTATCTATGAGACAAGCCGGACGAGGAAGTGAATATGGATGTTATTACAAGTCGGTATTAGTTTTGATATGAATTCTTAGAATATTGGACTACTGATGAGATCATCTTAGTAGTTCTGGAAGAAGTACTTATAATTTGTTTTTGGCAGTAACCAAGCGAAAAATGTAATGGACATGATTTGTGAGTCTGACATAGTTGGTGCTTAAGAAGATTCTGATCCAGATTTTCGATGATTCGCTACCGTCAAAGGATAATACTTTTCGCGACTTCTTTACTTTTTCAAATTTTTCACGGACAAGATTCGATTCTAGAAGCGAAATTAAAGTGATTCCCGAGGCTATCAATAATAAAAAACTATTCGCGAATTTTATCCAATCAACGTGAATTCTTCGACTTTTGACTTTAGACCTCTAGACTATCGAACTTCTCTATTCATTGATAATTTCTGCAATAGCTTCGATCAATAAATTTTCATCCGATACCATTGAATTTGAAATCGACATTTCATTTTCAATTTATCCACTTGGAATTTTGTTTGTTAAGGATTTTCCAATTTCTATGAGAAAGTTGTTAATTTCTTCACTTTCAATTCTTCAAGATCAGATCCTAGATCTTTCAAGTTTTTTTTTTTTATTGGAGTATTGAGTTTTCGTTTCCTTTATCTTCTTTTTCTTTTGTCAAAGACTCCTTTAATGTCGATGAATACCACATAGGCAGTCCACCCTCGGGATATTCGTCGATATTGAAGGGGCCTTTGAGAAAACCACCTGCCAAAACATTAGCCACTCCCTAACAGAAAGGAATACTACTCCGGAAACTATTACCGGATGGATATTACATGCATATGCTTTCCAAAACAATCGTACAGATAAGTGTTCAGAACGTTAACATTGAAGAAATGGTCGCAAGAGGCTGCCCACAGGGAGGCGTACTATCACCTTTTCTGTGAAACATGTTTCTGGACAATCTAACTTGGAAACTGAGAGAATACAGAAAGCATATATAGTCTATGAACAGTGTAGACGTACCATCGGTAAGACCTGAGAGTTCTCCTTCCAAGGTAGTTATATGGATTTATACAACCATCATCAGGTCTATGCTTACCTATAGGGCTTACCTGGGGTCATAAAGCCGAACAGACTACTATTAGCCGAAAACTAGACCACGCTCAAAGAATTACATGCGTCAACATAAATTGTGCAATGAAAAACACACCAACTAGGGCTTTGGAAGTGATTCTATGTTTGACGCCTCTGAATATTTATGTCAAGGAGGTCACTTTAACAACAATGATGTGCTTCCGCACTGTGCAGAAATCGATTTACAGAGAGCCCGCATATGGCGCGAGGCAACAAACCCGCTTCTACTATTGGAATCCAGAATGGATTCTGCAACGCCATATTTCGTCTTCAAAACACGAAAAGCATTGGTAACAATATTGTGGCAGGGGTAAGTAACATCTGGACTGAGGCAGGGGAAAACTGAAACAGGCTCGGGATGCGGAGTATACTCCAAAGCCCTCAGAACCAAACTAAACGGACTGAACGGAAATTACTGGCATAACTGCATCGCTGCAGAAATACCTACTGATAGTAACAATTATCACTGTCAAGATCGTGTACATCCACACGGACTGCAGATAAGCAGTACTAGCTATATCTAGATCACGACTCAGATCAGAACTAGTCTTGTGTAGGGTTTGTAATCAAGTAGAAGAGACAATGGAGCACATTGTTTGTGACTGCACTACTCTTTTGCCAATACACCGAGCCAGATTAGGCCAATCCTACCCATCCCTAGAAGAGAACAACTTATAGATAGAGATACAGATTTTTTTCAGGTACCTACTTGTTCATTATTTAATGATGAATATAAATATTGTTTTCATTTAAGGGATTTCTTTTTTCCTCTTGAATCACGTTTCTTCATCAGATTATTAAAAGTTGAAGACGAGAAAGTGAGATCACTGTCATCTGTCATATAACTTCAGGGGCCCCGCCCACTCCATTTGCAATCTTATCTTCAAGATACCATACTTCAGCCCAATTTTCTTCCATAACATGTCCGGCTTCCATTCCCATCTCTTGGGGGCTCAGCAAAATTAGAGATTTGAGATTGTTCTTAATAATGAGGAATGCTACATTTCGTTTACTAAGCAAGTTTTGGTGGATAAGATCCCTCTCGATCAATCAGGAAAATACAAACAAATATTTTAAAACGTACGCTTCCTCGACAGTTTTAAGTTCATGGCATTAGACTTAGATAAATTATCCAAAAACTTAAAGCCAGAACAGAGTCAAGAGGTTAGAAAATATTTTCCTGTGGAGGAATAATTTCAAATATATTGATAAAAGTATTTCCAGAATTTGTCGCCAATATTTGTTTCATTTATTTCTAATTTCTATTGTTCATTCCAATTTGTGATGATAACGTTATCAATAAGTTTACTTACATCATTTGTTTTTCTTGTTGGAATTTCCGAGATGATTAATGATGAAATCGTTTCCAAAAGTATGTTGGATGTGAAGTCATGGGAGTTAATTCGAGAGTTGCCTTCATAGTTCACGGTAGCGAAGTAAAGAGGAAGATGGTATTTATTGTTTTTTTTTTTTATAACAAAGTTCATAGTGGTCAGGAGTAATAAAACCATGGCAAAACTCTGCTTATTCAATGGGTTGATGTTGATTTTTACTACCTATTGGCATGTCAACAAGTGATGTATGGTATTGCACCTTTTTAAAACAGTAATTATCGCTTCTCTAAAAGAGTTTTTTTTTTCTCCCCCGACTAATGCATTTAACGCAACTTTTTCAACCACTCTAAATCTTCCTTCCAGGCGAAGGAAGCGACTACCTTAATGTGGCAATCAAAGACGGATGTTTGAGTTTAACGATGGGGCTGGCAAATGGAAAGCAAGAGATGCAAATCAAGCCAAACAAAGTTCGTTTCGATGACAATCAATGGCACAAAGTGAGCGTCCATCGTAGGATACAAGAGGTAATTTTCATTTTGACTTATGTTTATTCATCGTAAAAAATTATGAGATTCAGATTTATATTTCATCTTCTAAGCAAAAATGTTTTAAATTACCCTTGTTCTTGTTTGCAGATCTCGGCGATAACCAGCTTTTGTCGGGTAAGTAATTAACGTTTTGCGTACCGTAATTTTGTTTATTTTTGCGGCAGACACACAATCAGCAACTCCTAGGGCCTTAAACTTGTTACCGAAAATTTATGATGACGCTTGGCAACTTGTAAACTAACGTAAGAGAGAGGCAAAAATTTTAAAATATATTTTTGCTTAATCATATAAGGTCACAAATTGAAATTTTTTGGTGCAAATTGATGGTTCGCGTGCTATATACAAATTTCACAAAGAGGTTTTTTCTGAACACTTAATAACTAGCCTTCACGTAACACCAGTTTTAAATTTATGCGCTAGAAAATTTTCGCAATTTTGCAATTTTGGTAAGATTTACCGATATATTTTTCCCCCAACCGACTATATATTATTTGTTGTATCATTACTTGGAAACACGATCGGTATAGCCAACATGAAATCCTTAATCTAAAAACTTTCTCGGATTATTATTTATAATCTTCTCATATTAAAAATCATAAAACTTCTGTCAGTTTATTTTAATTAGAAATTTCCAGTGGAATATTAATGAAGTTAAATGAGAGCCAAAGCTCAGAGCGTCCGAAAGTTTTCAGGAATATGATAAAACCCGTTTACATATTTCACATAGGCCTTCAGTTTATATGCGAAAGTTACAATTTTTTTCCCCCTCATTATTCCGTTATTTTAATTTAATGCCTAAATACGTGGGATTTTTGAACCGGGTTTTATGATGCCAACAAAAATTCAATTAGAGCGTCGAAACCGAATAAATTCGTGTTTTGCAACATCCAATATCTACATAATAGTATGATGGGAATGGATAAAAATAGATTGACTAGAAAATATTAATTTCTAGTCATGAGAGATTTGGTTATAGCTTTGTATTGGCAGTAGAATTCATCATCATCGTCATAGGCGATCACTCGAGTATAATTATCTTCCATTCTATTCTTGTTTGTAGTCCCCACTTATCCCCAGACGGCATAGAGTCGTTGAATCTCTGACACCCTTGACCCTTACTAACTGTAGTCCCCTGAATACGGATTATATTTTATTCTGGGAACCAGATGCAACTAGGAAATCAAGACTGCAGCTTGGGTTGTTAAGCGGAGAATCTGCTCAGTCAGAGTTACGATACGCACATCCCAGTCCGATCAGATAGATCCCTACATGAGCCGAGTCTAAATCAGACTGATACAGCTCTGTAGCCAGACACGTCTGCTTTACGATGGGTTCGTTTGCCGTATTTTTAATAAAATATTGCTGATTTTAATTAGGTCGTTTTCTACGAGTGTGTTTTCCTGCTGAGTTGCATTTCAATGTTATAATCCCTCTGGTCTGGTGTACTTGAATTAGATTGACAATATAAATCAATTCTGTAGCTGAACTCTCTTGCACAGTCTTGACACCCCCAGCCTCTGGCAATATTGTTCCTTCCTGCGAATTACGCGAATTATAGATGAATTTGATTCATTTATGAGAAGGAAATCACAGGGATCTCGGCCAAAATAGTCTATATTACGTTATTTATCAGTGAATTGTATTCATCTATAATTCGCGTTATGTCCTCAAGGCGTCGCCTGTCCTGTGACTTTGTAATTGTTAAGTTAAGTCAACCTTCAAGTAACAAATCAGTAGAGGAAAAGAAAAAAGAAAGAATTTTTTTGAAGGCTAAGCAAATCCTCAAAACCAACACGCTAGATTTTTTTAGTGAATTTCAATAGAAATCCCTTGCGGGTTGACAAAGCTTTTTTAATTTTTATTTTTGAATTTTTTTTAAATCTAGTTCTGTTTACTTGTGTTGTCCATCCGATAGTTTTATTTTATTGTGTGCTCTTGTGTCTATTGTCTCTATTGTTCTACTGGAAAGGAGATTCGATTCTCGAATCATAACACATAATCCATATTCCATGCATATGTTGCACTCAAGTTCGCCCGGATGCCTTATGTGTAAACCCTGATTGACGAATGGCCGTTTCCATCAACTATTTAAGGGACGCCTTAACGATAAGTATTCCATAAACTGACATTTCTCAGTCCTCAGCTACTAGAATATCCTGTTATGGCTGTGGAGCTCCTGGATATATAAGATCCCAGTGTCCTACTTGTCGTATGAATGAACCACCTGCCTCCAATTCGAATGCAACCCATACTTCATGCCTTGACATTCTTCATACAGATATTTGTACCGTCTCAGTAATGTCTAGACCATTGGTTGAAGTCAGTGTTACCGGAAAACATGGGCTTGTTTATGTCGATTCAGACGCCAAGAATATAATTGTTGTTTAGGCATTTATGTGAATTGGATTTACCCTATCTAGAGAGACAGTTGCAAATGACTTTAGCTGATGGACATGTACGTCAAGTACTAACCAGAGTTTATGAAACTATTGTGGACCTGCAAGGAAGAAGAATCTCCACTACTTTCCTTGCGATTCCTAGTCATGAGCATATCAAAACACTCCTAGGGATAGACTTCCTATTGAATGCTCAAGTTATACGTTCCAAAATGGCAATGGTACTTTCAAGATAATCCTTCACAAACTTTTGATTTCTTCAAGGAGCATGGTGTTCAAGATTCTTCTGCAGTGTCTCAGGAAGCGTTTCAACTCAAAGATACTGATGGGAAGGATTTAGTTGCTAATGATAAATTACAATTGGAGCATGTGCTACAATCACATGCATCAATATTTGAAAAGGACAAGGAACTGACAACATACGCTGAACATACCATTCAGTTGACTAATGATAATCCTAGTTTTCGACCACAATATCGTATCGCACATGCACAGAAGGAAATTTTGAAAAAGCTACTTGATGAACTCCTTGAAGATGGGATCATTGAGGAATGTGAATCGCCCTATGATTTTCCAGTGGTTTTGGTCCTAAAACCTGATGGAAACATTCGCCTGTTGTTGATCATGGACGATTGAACAGTATTATTTTTTCAATGCAATACTCCTTACCTAGAGTAGATGATTTACTTCATTCGACTGCTAAGGCTGCCTATATTACAACTGGTTACCATCAGATACCAGTGAAGAAGGAAGACCGAGAAAAGACTTCTTTTATTACTCCTTTTGTTACTTTTCGATACAATGATATACCTTTTGGATTGAGAACAGCACCCGCAACCTTTCAAAGGCTCGTTGAAAGATTTCGCTCAGGATTACCACATATAAGTATGTTGGCTTATTTAGATGACTTGATAATTATGTCGTCCACCTTCGAAGACCACCTAAAAGATCTACATGAAGTTTTCAAGAGGCTCAAATTATTAATATTACATGTTATTCGTGCAAAATATGTTTTTTGCATCAATGAGGTAAAATATCTTGGCCATATGTTCAGCCAAGACGGATTCACTCCTTGTACAGGCAAGATGCCTGCAATTGTAAGCATGCATGCTCTTAACAGTATGAAATAAGTTCTGAGTTTCTTACAAATCTGCACCTGGTTTCGAAGATTTGTAGCGAACTTTGCGGATGTAGCTAGACCGTTAAGTCAATTGACTCGGAAGAAATCTACTTGGAATTGGGAACCTTCTCAAGAAAAAGCGTTTAATGTTAACCAGCGCACGCATTTTACGACAGACTGACCCTACAAAACTATTCATCATTAAAATGGATGCTAGTTCATATGCCCTTGGTTCAGCTTTACTCCAGGGGAAGGGTCCAGAGGAGAAGCCAATTGAATATGCTAATCGAAAGTTGCCGGCTGAGTGCACGCTTTAAAGTTGTGGAAGAGAAGGAAAAGATTTTGTACTTCGTGCAAATTATATTTATAAAAATTAGTGCAGAGCGCTTCCGGCCCTAGGCCATCTTCGGTGCCACCTGGAAGTGATGAGGAGACCAAGTCTGATAAATATGGTAAAATAAAGGTTTCCTACTTACTTCGTCAGGCAGAGTACATATAGAATCGACACACAACGGAGGACGCCCCATCAGACAAATTGCAACTGTTACAACACTTTAAAATTCCTATGTACTAAATATCACATTCATTGTAGGTAATCAGTCTAAATTCTTTAATTTTATCGAACATTTGAACATAAAGCTCAACCCCATGAAACGAAAAAGAAAACGATTGCAAAACGATGACAGTTGCAATTTGTCTGATGTGGCGTCTTCCGTTGTGTGTCGACTCTATATGTACTCTACCTGACGAAGTAAGTAGGAAATTTTTATTTTACCATATTTATCAGACTTGGTCTCCTCATCACATCCAGGTAGCACTGATGATGGCCTAGGGCCAAAAGCGCTCTGTACTAATATTTATAAATATAATTTGCACGAAGTACAAAGTTTTTTCCTTCTCCTCCTCAATTTGATATGCCTTCTGTTTATTGAATGATGCCCGAAAGAACTACCATACGACAGAGCGAGAATATATGGGCCTTTTCAAAATTCCGGGGATATATAGAATCCTCTGCAGTCATTGTAAAGAGTGACCACCAACCTCTACGTTGGCTAATGTCGTTGAAATCCACATCAGACTTGCTAGATGGGCGCTGTCATTACAACCATACGATCTACAAATTGAGTACGTTCCAGGAAAACAAAATGTTTTAGCAGATACACTAGCTATTTTCGGGTTCGAAAAAAGGACGGTTCTAGAACGGTTCAAAACAATCGCACAGTCTATTTTTGAAATTTGTGATAGCCGAGCCGTTGTCATTTTGTTGATTGATAAACTATGCAATTGTTTTGAACCGTTCTAGAACCGTCCTTTTTTCGAACCCGAAAATAGTTACTATCTCGCCCAATTTGTCATCAATGACCTTAAGGAAATACGAGGATATCCATTGTCTGATCCTAGCATAGCATCTATAATCAAATGTTTTGAAACTCCAGAGATTGTGTGTGTTTGTTGTTGACATTCGAAGATGGAGTGATAGAGGTTATGTAATGATGAATGGACTTTTATATCGAGATTCCCCTGATCACGATGGAGGAGAAGGTACCACCTGACCAAATGTTCAATTGAGAAAGTGATGGAAGAAACCCATGATTCGC